AACAATGCAGCATGCGATGACTGCGTTTGCTGGATTATTACGTACAATTGCTGCATTTGTAAGGCTTGATGTACGGTACGGTAACTTATGATATTTTGGCTTTGTGCGCTAGTATGGTGCCTAGTTGCTACGCACGATGACTGTGTGCGCAACATTGTGTTAAAATTTTTGTTGCGATTACACCACTTTTCGAATAGAACACAGGGTTGTGATTTATTCAAGTGCAACTTTTCTAGGTTGTGCAACGGTGATTTGGTCAGAGGGAGCGATACTGTGGCATGAAGGGGTGATCAGCCACTACAAGAGGGGTTATTGTTGCGACTTGCGTTACTGTGGGGAGGGTGCTACTCGCGTCTTGGTCGTGGTTCGACCAACTTCACTGCGTTTTTGAACATCATTGCGGGACTCCTAGGCGAATGAAGGTTTCAAGGCCCTCTTACGCGAGTTTGAGCGCACCTCTCTCGTATCCGAGCGACCGAACACCTCTCTTTTTGCCCTTCTCACTCTCAAGTCTATCTTATTGGTTCAGAGAGAAGGCGGTAGGCGGGATTGGAACCCGTAACCCCCATCAAGACACTGTGGGGAGTCTGCCCACCGATTGTGGGAGCTCTGTAGCCCACACGAGACTTTAGAGGCAAAAAACTCAGAGGTACGCTGACATGATCCCATTAGAATCTCAATAACCCCCTACCTATACAAACCTCGCGTTAATCTGTTTGAGTTTTGACTTATGTATATGTTTGATTTCTTTTTTAAAACTTCAACTTATATAGAGAGGAAATCTACCATGCATGTTTAAGTCACCTGTTTATGGTAAAAAATACCATTGTTTCCTGCAATGATATGAATGAGGCTCGAAGTGAAGTCGTTTCGACTGATCTGGTCGTTTTCCTCGTTTGCCTATGACTTGAAATGTGGCTGGAAGTGAAGTCGTTTTGATTGATTCGGTCGCTTTGCTCGTTTGCGTAAGACTTGAAATGGGGTTGAAACTTCGATTGATCCGGTCGTTTTGCTCGTTTGCCTAAGACTTGAAATGAAGCTGAAAGTGAAGTCGTTCCGACTGATTCGGTCGCTTTGCTCGTTTGCCTAAGACTTGAAGTGGGGCTGGAAGTGAAGTCATTTTGTCTGATCCAGTCACTTTGCTCGTTTGCGTAAGACTTGAAATGGGGTTGGAAGTGAAGTCGTTCTGACTGATCCGGTTGCTTTGCTCGTTTGCCTAAGACTTGAAATGGGGTTGGAAGTGAGGTCGTTTCGACTGATGAGGTCGCTTTCCTCGTTTGCTTAAGACTTGAAATGGGGCCGGAAGTGAAGTCCTTCCGATCCGGCCTAGCCATAAGCTATGAACCTAAACAGTTATCCAAAATATAAAATTTGATATATTTATTTATGTATTATATCATTGGCAGGCTACACGCCAGAAGTTGAAAGATCTAGCCATCTAAGACAGTAGAAGACAAAATAAAAAAGAAAAAAGATTTAAAGTTGGGTAGTATGCGTACGTGTACGAACCCAAAATCATGCGTATGCATACGTAAAAAAAAAACAAAAAAAAAACAAAAAAACAAAAATAAAACAAATCAAGAAAATGAAAAAAGCAATTATATTGTGCAGAAGAATGATACAAACAACTTGTGTCCGGGAGTCATACCCGAATTCCCAACCAATCTTGATTTAAAGTTAAAAAACCTTAAAGAAAAAATTTAAACTAATAATAACAAAAAAACTATTTTAAAATAGTTTTTAAATTATTATAATAATATTATCTTTTTTTTAGTTTTTTCTTACTCGAGTTTGATTGGGAATTCGGGGATAACTCCCGGACAAAAGTTGTTACAGAAGTTTGTTTGTTTGTTTAATTTATTTGTTTTTCGCATAGCTACACAACCTACACCGGACCCAGACACGCAGATTTTCGGATATGGAACCGGACCCGTGTCCGGTTGTTTCCGGACGTCCAGAACTCTAGACATTTCCGGACCTCCGGACATGGGGGGATCCGGACGCTCCAGATATCTGGACAGGTCCGGAAATGTCAGGACCATTAAAAAAATAAAAAATAAAAAATTATATAAAAAAAAATATGCTATGCAGAATAACAATGCAAACCACTTTTGCCTCAGAGTCATGTCAGGATTCCTAACCAAACTTGAGTTACAAGTCAAAAATTATAAAAAAGTTTTAAAAAATACTTTAAAACTAATAAAAGGTAATGAATTATTAATAATTAAAAAAATAGGGTTGTCTAATAAATTATTGTAGAGAGAGAGCATGTGCGGACCCCCCAGAAAGCATAAACGGGTCTGAAACCCCCCCAAAACAATTTTGGGGGCTTGGCTCCTCAATTGGGAAGAGTCCTAGACCGTTTTTTTTTTTTTTCCTCGAATTTTGGCAGTTCCGGACCTTCCAGACCGGACGTTTGGAGTCGGGACTGAATCCAGACCGTCTGGACGGCGGTCCAGACGTCTGGATTGTAGCCATGGTTTTTTGGTATAGAAGTTTGCGACGAGTCTCAGACAAAAGTTGTTTGAAATATCATTTTGTATAACATACTTTGTTTTTAGATGTTTCCAATGTGTTTTTTTTCTTAATTACGTATTTCCATGTATGGGAGTATGTGTATGCTCATACGTGTCACGTACAAGAGTACGTGTATGGTGTACACGCAACTCGTGTACACGTACGCCCTGCAACCCGGATTCAAAGTATAAAATTGAAAGGTAACTTTATGCAGGTTGACTCATCCATAAGTTGGGTAGTTCAGTCCTATGCGCATGAGAACACAAAGGCAGAAAGATAATATAAAACAGGACTAGTTTTTTAAACATAATTGAGGATTGGTTGAGAATCTCCATAAGTTGGAGTGACCTGACCTTTTACTAGAAGAGAGAATGAAAACATAATCTTTACTTATTGAATATCGTTGTGCTACGAAAGTTATATGAACCCATAAGTGTGGGGTTGTTCGGTCATGCATACATGTTGCTTGTCTAAGCGGGCTGGACTACATATAAGTTGGGTAGCTTGGTTCTACGCTATATGTCATTGTTTAGGCTGGCTAGCCACACCATGATTTGTTGTGTTCTGGTTATAAGCCTCATGTCGTTTGTTCAGGAAAAGGCTGCACTCCTCATAAGTTAAGGCGGCTTAGTTATTTGTGTATGCCAAATGTGTAGATTGACCAGTCTCACCATAAGTTGGTGCAGCCCGGTTATACGCTTTCTGTTGATTGTCTCTGCAGAAGCTGGTCACATCATAAGTTGGTGTGACATAGTTATATGCCTTACGTTTACTTGTCTACCAGGCTAGGGCATCATAAGTTAGTGTGACCTAGTCATATAATGGGCAGTGAGTCACATCCATAAGTTGAATTGTCTGACCTTATGCCTTATATAAAGGAAGGTAAAAGGGTAATAACGAGGGATTTTAACGAACTATGTGATCCGGAAAAGAACCTGAGGGTTAGTGAGGAATGTTATTGTGTTTTTTTGTATATACCTTTGGGTTTTATCATTTGGGGTCTTCTTTCGATAGCTAGTCGCTTTAGATGTTTATTGAGTGTTGGAGCTATAGCCAGATAAGGTTGATGATGTGAGGGAAACTTGGGATAAGATAGGACTGGCCTTACTAGAAGTCAGGACTAGTGCTAGCCCACGATGCCATCTTCGAGGAACAATCGTATAGGCTATCTCCAGTTCTAACTATCTAGTAAATGTAAAAAGTTAATCACAAGTGTAGTTGTATTTTGCTTTCGCATTTTCTGGATTGAATAAATTTGGGCAGTCTCTTTTTCCTATGGAAAGCGCTGCCGAAAATTTTACAAACGTGAAAAGGGTTAGTGATTTATGAACTCGTGAAAATGATGAAAAGACACTTTTCTACGGGAAGCACTGTCGAAATTTTATAAAATTTTGAGAGTTAAATTATTTTCGGTCAGCAGAAATTTGGCAAGAAGATTGCAAAGTTTTCGATAACTTATGAGGGAGGTAAGGTAGAGGTTAGTAAAGGAGTTAGGCTATGGGGTGGAGTTTGCCCTCCATCTATCGTAAATTGTATTTGGTTCTCTTTGGCATGAACTGTGATGAAGGTCTACGAGGCTTGATATGTTCGGCCTGATCCTACAAAAGATCATTCTGTGCTATTAAAGCTCACTTAGTTGGTTGAGATTGCCACCAATCTCAAGCTGTGCGACTGTTTTGAGTCATCAACCGATTACGTTCTTCTATGGGGGGACTAAACGCTCTAGAGGAGGTACAGTCTGGGGCTGCGGAGGGCGGTTCAACATGGCCTGTTGATGAGGAGCTTGAGCCCTTGGTATGGGGAGCGTGACCCCAGGCGTCGGTGACAGATGAGGAGGTGGCGGAGCAGAGACTCGATTACAATAACTAGGTAATCATCATCCACGTCCTTTGGAGGATGTGTTTGTGCCAGAGCCGCGGTGCTCCTCCCCTACGAGGAGAAGCAGCCAAAGGAGGAGGTTGTGGATGACGTGATTCGGGCAGCGCGCGACAAGGCCGTTGACTGCGATGAGGAGTGGACCGACCGCGAGGAGATTGCATGTTGTGTAGATAAGAGTCTAGAGAGACTCTACTGCGCACAGGGAGGAGAGTCCACTTGGGCCCAGCCTTGGACTACACTTATCATACGAGACGATGACGCTTCTTTTTTTTTGTTTACTATTTCTAGTGAAATTATTCATAAAACTTTCTTGACGGGGGAGGAGTGAGACGGCTCGTGGCACGGGCAGTGGCACAATACGTGGGGCAGATCCAAGTCGCACCAACCGTTCCCATTCGAGGAGGGTCTTGGGTGTCGACAACACTGGCTTCGAGAGAGAGACAGAGAGAGAGGACGGCGACTCTTTATTGCTTGCGGGTGATTTGCCAGCGCCTGATATCGGGGGAGGATCTCGACCCCTTAGAAAGTCGGAAAGGCTGGTTAGCCGCAGCAGTAGAGGTCCACACGCAGAGACTAGTTGTTCTTAGCACCTCGACGAGATACAGGATGATGCGCGTGTGGGTGAGGAGCCTGAGCAGCTCACTCCAGTTTGGCCCACGCTATTACAGGATATTCCGTCAGACTTGTGGACGGAGGACTTCATGGTGGGTAAAGAGGGTGCGTTCGCCAGCGGCATTGGTGGACGTCAGCACGTTCGCGTGAGGGACATGGCGGACTACATGCGGAGGAAGGAGACTGAGGTAGAGCGTGATGTGCTCATTGACGCCGAGGAGGAGAGGCGCTTGGCGCGGGTGCTGTAGGCAGGGAAAGTGGTTCATATGGCTGTGGTGAACCCCATGAGACGACTACAGAATGTCGGTGTGGGTGGCGCTGCAAACAGTGCAGAGGCTATACTCGGCGAGGGTGCTGCCTCGTAGCCTTCGGGTGGGGGACATGTTTCACCAGATCCGACGTCATCGCCTCCTCCTGCCGAGCGCCCTACTACAACACCCCATGCCACTCCCTCGCCATCCCCGACCGCGAGGGGAGATGCAGGTGTTCCACGTGTCTCTGCATCACCTCCCGTACCATACGATGCCTGTGTCCCATGCTCCTCTTACCTCGGGGGGAGGACTATCAGACATGATCGAGTCGAAGTCGAACGTTGTGCGTGACGTTGTAGTTGGACTTATGACATTCGGAGGTCCGGAGATGAAGCAAGGATTTAGTCATGAGGACCATGGTGATGACGACAACGCTGTGGTTTCGGAGGCGGACAATACGGACGCAACATTGCCACAGATGGTGCCCATTCACGTTCAGCCCGTCGAGGATGAACTGTCTATAGCAGACATGAGATGAGGCGATCAGGAGGAGGCGGGAGGGCAGGGAGCGCAGGGCAGGCCGCAAACGGATCTTCACACGGCAAACTCGGTAGCCGACACGCATGTCGTAGCGGCATATGACGCGGACAGGGTGGGTGTGGAGGATCCGTTGACCAGCACCCCTACTGTTGTCCGAGACGCATCGACCACAACTTATGCCCCTGCAAACCCTATATATATTCAGGATCCCCCGAGAGCCTAGAGCGTGAGGAGGCAGAGTCAGAGAGGATTAGAGCAGAGTGATAGGCAACTCACCCTCCTTTGCGTCCACCAACGCTGGCCATGCCCCACACGCAGAGCGTTGCCCACCATCTAACACCGAGGAGTGTTGTTGGGAGAGGACACATATCTGGGTCGTCGTCACCTTCATGGCAGGATGTTCGCCAGTCTGACCACCGTCCATGATCAACTATGCGAAGAGTGGATGGGAAGCTTAGGAGAGAGGTTATTGTGGCGGAGGCACGACATAGAGAGGAGAGACAGAGGCCAACGAGAGAGGCACGAAAGGAAGGATGGACCTATTTGTCCCCCAGGGCGGCGGTCATGGCGGTTGTGACCGCGGCCCACGACCGAAATCGGTCCGCTGCGGGCAAGAGGAATGGGGTACTGACAATCGGGAGCGGGATTCTGTGGGCGGGACCCGGGCCCCACCCCCTATAACAAAAAAAAATAAAAAAATAAAAATGGGGGGCTCCAAACAGGGGGGATTTAGAAGGGGGGGGGGAAAATCATGGACCCTTTTTTTTTCATTCATTTTCTTTATTGAAAAGCCCATTGTTTTGTCTTTTACCTTTTTTTTTTTTAATTGATTGATTGATTGATTGGTTGGTTGGTTGATTGGTTGATGGGTTGATTGGTTGATTGATTAATTGTTTGAATTTTTTTTTTTGATTGATATGTTGATTGATTGATCGATTAATTAATTGATTTATTGGTTGATTTATTAGTTGATTGATTGATTGATTGATTGATTGATTGATTAATTGATTGATTGATTGATTGATTGATTGATTGATTGATTGGTGCGGGAGAGGTCGCCTCACCCCAAGCACACACACATACACGTGTGGGCGGGTCAAACCCGCTATTTTATTTTTTGATTGATTGATGGGGAAGGGGTCGCCCTTTCCCCCTGCACATGCACACACACATACACACACACACACACACACACACACACACACACACACACACACACACACACACA